CAGTGGTATTATTTCTACACTTCAAATCTCAGCCATTTATGTAAATGAAGTTTTCCAGTATTTTACAGCGATAATAGAGGGCAGTTGCGGATCTGGAAGTTACACCGTGTATAGCGTTATTGGAGAACGTCTAGAAAGGTCCTTCTTTACAGATTAAGAAGTGAACATAACTCAAAGTCTGGAAAACCAGATTTATAGAGGCTTGAGACCCACTGATTAGATTGTGCGTTGTGTAAGATAAAACGCGTGAGAGAAGAGAAGAAAAAATATTATAAATCTCTGTTTATAAGAACCAAAGATTTTGTAGCAATAGTATATGAGTTCGCACGCGAGCAGTTTGCACTTTCTACATATATTTTCAACTGAAAATAACTTCGGGATCTGCGATCGGCCTGGCTCTGAACTGTGAGAGACATTATTTAGGCTGGTGGTGTGCCTAGATTTAAGGGCATTTAGAGCACGCTCTTCTTCGTCGTCTTCTTCTTGTTCTTCTTCTTCTTTTTATTATTATTATTATTATTATTATTATTATTATTATTATTATTATTATTATTATTATTTCTTCTTCTATCAAATAACACAATGGAAATATTAGTAATAATCAAGAGCAAATTCACTTGTATCCTGTAATAATATATCGCAAAATATGTAACTCTTTAAGGCTGTCAACACGATGTCACGATAATAGTCTCCTTTACTGCGCATCAATGGCGCAGTAAAACATACAATTTTTTATAATAAAAAGTAAGCGATTCAATTGTACATAATTATTATATACAATGATAATACTCATTTTCATGTTAAAAATATTTGCTGGAGATATGGAGAATAGGTAATAATTTCCTTAGTAACAGCTCATTGATAGGGTTTTGTGTTAGGGTTAGATTTGTTTGCGTGTTAGCTACGAAAATGAGTATCTATAAGATAAATAATATATGCGATGTGATGAAATAGAAAACATTTCATATCCAAAAACGTTCTGTAAGATGTAATAATCATTCCTGTTTGAAAATCGTACTTGAAGGCTGCGCTTGGTTGGTTCAAAAATGTCAGTCTTCGCTTCCCGGCAGCCGAGGTAGCGCGCTGCCGCCCGCACTGACCGTAAAAACGGTGGCACCAGCCTCCGTCACCGCCGCCGCCGCCAACGCCAAGCTGTAAAGCCCTGACCTGGCGCAACCAATAAAGCGGCTTTATGAGCAAATGAGTCGCGCGCCTCCTTCGCCTCGGCGGGTCGCGTTCGCGTTCGCGTTCGCGTCGCGTCGCGTTGCATCGCGTCGCTTCGCGTCGCTTCGCGTTGCATCGCATCGCTTCGCGTTGCATCGCGTCGCTTCGCGTTGCATCGCGTCGCTTCGCGCGGCGCCCAGCCCCCAGCGCCTTGCCCTGCTCTGGGCTCCCTGGTCCCCCACCCACACCCCACGGCACCTGCGGTGAAGTTCGCGGATCGCCGCTGAGACGCATTGGCGATGGAATTATTTTCCAATAAGAATTTACTGTCATTTGATGGAATAGTAAATTGTCCTTAAAATACGTGTCCATTCGTATACGACATGACGAAACATGAAGATATATAAGGTAATTACTTTCTCGCACCGACAAAGTTGTGTGTTCTAAAATGAAAATGGTAAAATTTATGAAATGTATCCAGTGTTTTCATTATTTCCGAATCCATCAGTACAAGTTGATTCAATTTTGTTTTATGTAAGTCATGTGAAATTTAATATTTATGTATATGATTCCAAATTCACAAAGAAATTTTTTTTGTCACCAATTACTATTTTTCCATACCATCTGTTGTTACTAGCTTTATGGCGCTGTTGCGCTCACTAGTGTGCGTGTCAAAATGAAAAACTACATTCTTATCTTATTCCTAAAATTCAGTGAGTGTAACGAAAATGATACCTGCGCGATTCTTTCGTGCGTTCCTTGTTCTATCCAAGAAAAACAATGAGAGAGATTTTTGAGACTTGTTTTTTATAATTAGTTTTAATTTCAAGTAGAAATTACGAGAAACTACTTGTTATTTCCAAACAATAGCTTCTTCGAATGTTTGCTTTTTGCGATTTTCGAAAATACAGTGTTCGCCGAATATGAGACAAGAGCCATTTTTACGAACTTTTAAAAAATATATATGGGGAGAAACTTAAAAAAATTGAGAAATTTTAACAAACAAATGTTTACAAATTGACTATTTCACCCAAAATGTCGCAGCATTTACTCATTATTCAAAAAATTGTACATATTGCCATATTTAAGTCTTCAAAGAATATATTTCATTAAGAAAAAAATATATTTAATATCGTAGTTATTAGAAGAACAATCCCGAAAAAAAATTTCAACGTTTGAAATTTTCGAAAAATCAGGAATTACAACAGAAATGAGACTTTAGGTTATCCTAGGCCAAACTAAACAAAACTTGGGAGTCATTTAAAAAAATTGAAATGTTAATTAGGCTTTATATAAAGTACCCCCCAAATTAATATATTGGCTTAAAACTTGCAGATCACAGACTTCCTTTAAATCGAATATTACAGAATATCAGTTTCCCAGTGAATCGGCGGAACGGTTTAGGCGTTAGCGTTGACCACAGAAATTAATGGTGTTAAAACAGCACTTACTTTCTCGTCCATTTTTTCACGCAAAATTACGCGAGAAGTACTCAAATTTTCGAAAAATTATATATGACTTTATTTAAAAATCAATTTTTAAGGAACATATTTCATTAATGTAAAAATGCAATATCTTTATTATTCTAGTTGTGGGGAGACACCGATAAAAATTGTACTTTTGCAATTTCCGAGAAGTTAGGGTTTTCAACGAACAAAAGATCTGCGACATTCTCTTAACGTTCTTCACACTATCTAACAACAAAACTTAATAAAAAAACAATGAAGCCATTTTTTTGAAAATTTGGAAAATGTCCCGGGGGCTTTATGAAGAGTACCCCATAAAATTAAAATATAGGTTTTAAATTTAAGGGGCCACAACACCTACAAGATCGATATGGAGAAATCAATTTTCGAGAAAATAGACGGTTTAGCCGCTTGTGTTGTTCACGGTTGGAGAGAGACGGACGGACGGACGGACGAAGAAAAAGACGTTTTGTAGTCATTCAAGTTTTTGGTATCAAGAAACCACAGAACATGGATTCTGGCTACACCACGAGATAGAGAATTTTTTTTTAATTTAGTAACTGAATTTATCAATTTTTTCGTTGCTAGAGCGTTGTAATAGGTGGTTTTATTCCTAAAATTCGCTGTTTTTTTGCGCAGCATTACATAACCTTCTCTCTACTCCGTAGCGAGAAAGTAACTTGAAGCGAGAAAGTAACTTGAAGCGAGAAAGTAACTTGAAGCGAGAAAGTAACTTGAAGCGAGAAGTACGAAGCGAGAAAGTAAAACTGACAGACGAACAGATAGACGTTTTCCTATGAACCAATATTTAGGTATAATGACTCACAAAACATGGATTCTGACTACATCTGTACTACATGTGACATATGTGTTGAGAAAGGATTTATCTAGTTTTCTGTTTCCAGGGCCAGACAATAAGAGTTTTTTTTCTGTAGAAAATTTACCGTTTTCCAGCGCATAATTACAATACTTTATTTTTTTTAAATTAAGAGCGATAAACCAAAAATACAGGAGAAAATTGGGAACGTACAAACTTCCATAATTTTTGTTTCATTTATTTTATTTAAATTATTCACTTTATTTTAATTATTTAACCTACTTCATTTATTACAATGATACACTCATTTCAGAGCATACTTGAAAGAGAAGGGTTGTTACTTTATATCATATTTTCTAGGCGAGTGATAACAGCGATGTTTCGTCTTGGTCCTTCTGTATAAATAATGATAGAGAGATAATTAAAATTGGGTAAATTATGATAGACGATGCGCTAATATTCGCTTGGGATTGAGAGACCAACCACGATATTATCGCGTAGTGGAAGCTCACATGCATTGAACGGAACTTGAATGTACACTTCGGAAGCCTCGAACGCAGACGCTGCTCAAGCCTCTGATTCAGCGAGGCTAGTACACGCATGCTTCTAGTCCACTTGATAGCAAAATAACATTTTTAAGAAATTTCTGTACATAACCATAAAGACACTTATTTAAAAATTAGTGACATTTTGGGCTTTTATTCATCCTACCATTTTTTATAATATAAATAGTGTTTTTCCATTTTGAATTCATACAGTACTTGGTATATAATGAAAATGTCCATCAAATCGGGGAAAAATAATTTTCCTTAACAATTTTTTTGTTGAAACGTACTAGAAAAGTTTTGTTTTCCTATAATATTCGCATTAAACGTTGCTTCTCAATAAGAGATTTGAATTACTTATTGTCATTACTTATGATTACACCTTCTTTCAGCAATTATTTCTAAAACGAAGTTCATTTATATTCATCGATTTTAAGATTCGAGAAATCTCTCCCAAGTTCTTTTCATGAAAAAATTAAATTTCAGTTGTTATGATTTTTTTGAAAGAATGTTTGCCGTCGATAAAGGTTAAGAGGTCCTTTGTAAGCGTTACAATATTTAGTTCTTTATGTACGAGTTCAAAATAACTACATTCATGAAATCTCGCCTCAGTGCCATAATCTCAAAACTACTACTGCCCCATTGCTGCCTCGGTCGATCACTCCACGGGGACCGCGCCTTGGGGGATCGCGCGAAAGTGACGTCACAAGGCCGCGCGTCATCGTTGCAAGGACGCCGTCAGCCCTTGCCCCCTTCGCGTTTGGGCGAGCGGGCGGCGGCGGCGGCGGCGGCGGCGGCGGCGGCGGCGGTGGAGGCGCTCGCGGTTCGCGGCCTCCCGGCCCCGGGACCTTTACGGCTGCAGGCGCCGCCGCGGAGTGGGCGTCCCGCAGGGTCCCAACAGCTGACTGCCGGCCGCCCTCCGCCGCCGCGGCGCGTCTTACGAGCCATTAAATCTCCTCGCGTGACGTCACGCGCGCCGTCCCCGCCCCCGCCCCTCCCACGCTCTCCTTACCCCTCCCCGCGGCCCATCCGCCGCCTGTCATTCAGTCCGCGACGGCCAGGGGTGTCCACGCCGCGTCGCTTCAGCTTCCGCGCGGGGTCGTAAACGCGCACGTGGTCGCATGGGCCCCCCACTGTGCAGACTGGGTGCTCGTACCTTTCCAAGGGTGAGACTTGATGGTCGTTCTCTCGGCTATAAATTTTGCGTTTGTTCTGGGATATGAAAGAATGAAAACAATAAATTCATGATCTTTATATTCAAATATATACAACCAAATATACATAATATGAATGGCATGTTCCTTGATATGCAATATCATGAGATTCTGAGAATTTTAAGCGGGGCATAAAATTGTGAAAATTGCATGTTTAGTGTGCATAAAAGCTACTTTCTGAATTTCCTGTTTCGTGACAACCAACGATTTTCATCACAAAACAGCAGTTTCAAGGTAAATGTATTTGGGACATTTAAGATTCTTTTATTCTTATTTCGTAACGTTTGACATGTACGCTACAGCGTTCATGGGAATCTTAGCCAGTGACATGCACGAACTCCGCCTCAGAACAGCCCTGCGATGCAACGACCTAGCAAGGCGGTTGTGGCTCACGGCGTTACGACTTATAAGCCTTTGCGTTCGCCACAATGCCCCGTCTCATCTTCGCGCGTTTCCGGATCTTTCCGTTCATGCACCTACTGCCTTTCGAACACCTGACGTGACATTCAAACACTTCTGGCAGTGAGTCGATTCAAAAGGGCAATTAAAGGGCTTGGGTGAATAACAAAGTAAGCTACATCATCCACAGCAAGCCTTCCGTTATTTGTGAATGTAAATATCTTGATTTGGGTGAAAATGAGGCTAGCTTGTTACTGTACCACATGTCTTGTTCATAGTTTTTAATAGTTTGGGACAGGTTCGACCAAAATTTGTAGATATTAATATTTACAATTAACGATAGATTTTGTGCGGCTTTGGAAGCTATTCGTGTTTCTGTTCTAAGCTCTTCAATTACATTATAAATAAATGAACGCGTTTATATTGTTTTTAAACGAATTAGTAAATAAAACCCTTCATTTACTAATGCCGTTAGTGAAAAGTTCACATAGGGAATAGTTTGATAGTTCAAATAATATTTATTTTAAAACTTCCTTATGTTTATTTTCATACTTTTAAGATAAAGTGTCATTTATTTGTCGTTAGTTGTCAGTAATTTATTTGTCGTTTGTTTTTAAATTCAAAGTTAATTCAACTCAAATTTGTAAGGGGATACTAATATGTTAGCGTTTCATTTTGTAAAAAATATGTTAGAAATAATTTATTTTTTAATCGATATCAGCACAGAAAGCACGAATGAAGATCCAATATATATGATCCAAAAATCCTCCTCTAATAGCTCAATTTTCTAGTGACTTAAACTGCTGGGGAGATTGTGACACAATCTAGGGAAATTCAAAACAAACCTCTCGCTGCGCACTGATGCTTGTGAGCGGAGAAAAGAATCAACCTAGATTTTAAATAAGGGAGTTGGAGCTGAACAATGTGTTGTTCATATTGCTAGAGCAACTGTCAAGAGAAAGAAAACGTCTACATTGAATTTAAGCATATATCTGGAAGATTTTGTCTTTGCGCTTATTATACTCAACACACTAGATTTTATCATTTTAATAGCTCATTTACCCTTATACTAATTAATGCAGCTATTTGCTCTTGCACTCTAGCCTGCCTGTACACTCCTTTGTATCATCAAACCGTTGAATTTATTCATTTAAGAACGGGTATTTTGCTGTTGTTAAATGTATGTTTTGTTATATTTTCTCCTACCTCGTATGTTCTTCCGTGGGCTGTGGAACTCTCTCGAAGCCTCTACATTCTTAATTTACTTTGCCACTTCAAGAGCCAGGTTCAGCTTCTTTATTTCCTTTTTTATACTATCGGTGTTCCTTCTCGTTGCTAACCCACTCTCTTTCTCTCCCTCTCCTCTCTCTTACTCTCTCTCTCATTATCTTTCTGCTTGTGCTCTAGTACTCCCTATATGTCACACACACACACTCTCTCTTTTCCAGTCGCTGGTGCTCACACTAACAGACATTTAGCCTGCAGAACTTTGTGGAAAGGGGATCCCACAATTTACGACGCACTTTATGGCAGAAGCCTAATTTTATAGGGGAGTGAACGTTTTATGACTATTCGAGAGGACAATTACAAAAGCACAGGAGATAAATAATCGAAAATTATGGCTTGCCATAATTCTCCCACTGATTTGTGCGATCAGAACTTTGGAATATTTTTCCGCAACCCTTTGAAACTGTTTGTTTATTCAGTTACGTGATGTATGCTCGTGTAAAAGCACTATACATAATGAAACATTTGAAATAATTATTTCTGGTTTACTAAATGTTTAGTTTAGTGGGAATGCATGTGTACGTATATTTGTAAACATAGCTCATCTCTCAACAACTTTTAATTCTATCTTTTTCCTGCTACTCTTAATTACGGAGTATAATTTCCGAAAACTTGTAATACTTGCGTCCTGTCTGCCGAGGGGAAATTCCATCCAGATTCAATTTCCCGACGCAACTGTACGCGATCTGCAAGCGAGAACGCCGGGATCTCTGGGCCCCTCGGAGCCTAGGGTGGCGCCAGCGTTGCTCCTCGTGCACGCTAATTTTTTTCCTAAAGAGGTAAACGGAATAAAAGAAACTCGAGATTAAGCGTAATTTCATTTACACTCGCACCCCAGCCCGGCGCGTTCCGCCGCCCCACGCCCCCCTTCGGCTGCGTTGGGAGTAAAGCGCCTAATGAGATGCAGAGAGAAAAGAGCGCGCGCGGAGTGGCTGCAGGGAGGGGCCGCGAAACAAAAGAGAGAGACAGAGCAGAAGACCAAAAAATACGGGAAATTAAGATTAGCCTCATTAAGGCGCCGGGTCCTTTTTCTTTTTAATCTCGGCGTGTTTTTTGGACGCGCCCCCTGATTACGCAGGATCCGCGTGGATCTGACGCGGCTCCGCGCTCTCGGCGAGCGTGATGAGGGGCGCGGGGGCTGTGGAGACGGGAGCGTAATGGTAAAGTAGGCGCAACAGTGGCGGAGGTGGCTCTGGCGCGGCAGCGGCTATGGCTACGGTTACTGGAGGAAGAAGAGGGGGGGGGAGATTTGCTGGGGAGGAGGAATGTCGGAAGCTTTTGTGGTGACGGAGGAGGCGGCGGCGGTAGCTGCAACGTGGGTGGGGGCGTCCCTCCTCCCGACAGGGCGAAACACGTGAGATTCTCCGAGAGAGCCCCAGCTCCTCCCCTGTTTCCCCGAGAGGCCGTTTCAATTGAATTCCGTGCCTTCAAATTCAGGGCAAAATGGGATGCGCGTTCTCGACAGACGTTTCTGCAATTTAATTTTCTGTCTTTAAAGAATTGATTAGAATCATTTTTATAAAATTGTTTCGTTTTTTTCTTTATCACTTCAAATTTGTCAGGAATATCTTAAATTTACTTTTGAAAGGGAATCATGCAAACTCGATAGTTTCAAAAATATCTCATCTTCAACGTCTACCAAAAAGAACCCGTGCAGATGTATGGCTGGTCAATAACATAGAGTAGTATTAAACATAAATTAAAAAATATAATAATTAGAGTAAGAATTATTATTGTAAATAATTTGTATTTCTCTGTCTAATAACTTTTAATTCGATACGGCAAACTGGCTTCATGGTAGAGGCAGTTCATTTGTAAATAACCCTAAATTGAAATTTTTCTCGTCGTTAACGCCATGTGTTCACAATTCAGCCTCCATTTGGATTGTGCGAATTTCTGTGTTTCATTAAGTCAGCGCGAGGCGATCGAATGAAATTGATGGAGGCTTTCGCGATCGCAGAGTTTGAGTAACCTGTTTTGTGCTATTCGCTGTTGCCTCTTACACCTGCTCCGCCTTCGCCGTCGCTCAAGGAGCCCTCGAGCGGGCCTGTTTCAGCACGCCTTTGAAGAGCGATTTATGAGCCTTGCGTTCGCCACAATGCGCCATTCCTCCCGGAGTTATTGCATTGTTTTTCGCTCAGCGCTGAATAACGTTTTCTCGAACACAGGACACCACTTGGATGGTTAAGCCAGCTTGCAGGCACATGGCCAAGGGGCGGTTTCTTCCTTATTTTCTTCTTTCTTCCTGTTTCTTTCTTTTACTAGAATGGTACTTTTCCGTACTTGTGTTTATATTTAATTTAAAAAAAACATTTGCATCAAAAAAACTTTTCTAGCATAGTTATGATTATCTATGAATTAATACATAAACAAACATTATATAAAGTAAGTGAATACATTGTAAAATGTGTTTTTAAATAAATTTCACAAATATGTTTATTTCATTATTTAAAATAAATTCACTTACATATTTGGTATATAAAAGAGCAAAATAATTGTATGATCCTACTAAACAATATTGAAATACAATTACCTTAATAAAGTGAAAATATTGTACCATTATAGATAAAAATCTCAGATACTTAAAATTGTGCTTTGCAGGGCTGTAAATTGGTACTTATAGTTTCATGTTGATAATTAAAAAGTATTACGCAATTTCTGTATAATCATTCAATAATTTTTGTTCGTAAGTATAAGTCATATTTCCTGAATAATGATTATGGCTTCAGTCACATTTCTTCACTTTGATATCCTGCGTGTATTACTCGTAAAATTCCATTTCTACGAGCGTCAGACGAGTACTAAATCGGGTCGAGGGCCGTAACGTCGCAAATCGAGCCTCCGCTGGGGTCTGCGCGCCGCAAGCCACGCACCCGCGCTTCCGACGATTGTGGGCGCTAAAGAATGGCTTCCGGCGTTTGTCTGCGCGCGCCGCCTGCGCGTGGGTGGCGCGAGCGCAGATGAAATCTCTGCAAGTGCGTGTGAAAACGCACTGCTAAACCTCTCAGCGGTGTTTCCCGCTGTCAAATCACATTGCTTGAACACCTCGCTTTAAAATGTTAATGTTTCGTTCTGATTGGATATCGCTTACTCTTTGCTTCTGTTTAAGATTACTTATAACACAGACAGTGACAAAGTAATAAAGATAAAACAAACTTTCCCTATGTTTATCAAGAGTAACGCATTGTATTTATGAAACTTTGAGTTGAATATTCTGAAGCTTCAGTTATTTATTTCTCGAAATATCAACAGTTTTGAGATTTGGCCTCGAAGTCACAATTTTTCATTTTTTTTGTTATCAAATTCAGCGTA